CTCCTGGCGAAGCATCAACCCTCCTGGCGAAGCATCAACCCTCCTGGCGAAGCATCAACCCTCCTGGCGAAGCATCAACCCTCCTGGCGAAGCATCAACCCTCCTGGCGAAGCGCATGCAAGAGAAATTAAGGACAAGAGAAAAAGATACCAGGCAAATGACGTTAGAACAACGTCAAATAAACGTTGATTCAATCAAACAACGTTCAATTAAACGTAAATTAAACGTATAAGATGTTTGGCGGGCGACATCAGCTTTTTTTGGCTGCATCGTCGGGATCACATAAACCATTAATCTCAGGCCGCCAAAACTTTCTTGCGTAAATTTGATGTTGAAAATCAATCTCATGCCGCGAAGAATTGATGTCAATCTTACGTTTGATGGGTCTTGGGACGCGGACTTTGATGAGGTGCTCCATACAATACGCGATGGCTCGGGAATTTCAATTTTAGGCTCAATTTCTCAATTTTTATTAGTTATGATGCAATTTTTTTAATATATGGTATATGAGTGCACGTGAAAATTTACGCGAGATCGAAAAAACGTAAGCCAAAATATACATGAAAATTCAAGCGAAAGACAATAGATCAACTTGAGCATAAGCGGCAAGTTTATGAAAAATATTTTGGGGGACGATGAAGAAATTTTTCTTGAGCTTCGAAATTTTTATTTAGGAACAATTCGGGAAAAATGTCTATCATATTGCATAGGTTTTGTTGAACTGATTTCATTTTATACGCATTGCAATATAATCCATGATCGCTTCAGGAACGGTTCATAGAACCGCTCACGCGTCAACCGATCACGTGAACCGCTCACGTAGACCGTACATAGAACCGCTCATAGAACCGCTTATGGAAGGACGGACCGCTCATAGAACCGCTTATGGGAGGACCGCTCACAGAACCGCTTAGCGGGGACCGTTTAAAGAACCGCTTCCATTCATAGAACCGCTCACGTGGACCGCTCATAGAACCGCTTACGGGGAACTGCTCGTGTATAGAACCGAATATATGGGGAGCTGCTCATGGAACCGCTTACGGGAACCATTCGTTGAACCGTTTACCTGGGACCGAGCATAGAACCGTTCACTTGGACCGCTCATAGAACCGCTTATGGAAGGACCGCTCATATAGAACCGCATAAAGCGTGGGGACCGTTAAAAGAACGGCTTCCCTTCATAGAACCGCTCACGTGGATCACTCATAGAACCGCTTACGTGGATCACTCATAGAACCGCTCACGTGGACCACTCATAGAACCGCTCACGTGGACCACTCATAGAACCGCTCACGTGGACCAGGATCGCTCATATAGAACCGCTTCCCTTCATAGAACCGCTCATGTGGACCGCTCATAGAACCGTTCACGCTTCACAGAGAACCGTTGACGGGTGACACGCGGTATTTTTAATATTAGTTTCCCCCTCCCCCCCCTTTCATAAACTCCCCTTTCCCTCTCTTTTCCCCTTCCCTTCCCACACCCTCTCCCTTTTCACTATTCCACTCTTCCTTCACATACTGCATGGTTCCTCGGATGCATATCGTATTTTGGTTCATGAAGAACCGGTTTCGATAATAAGCTCACGTGATCCGCTGCTGCAAGTCTCTTTAATATCGTTATTTATCATTTCCAATAATATAATTTAAACATAATTATTGTTGCATATTATATTTACATTAGCATTACTAATACATGATTATTATTAAACGTGCGTGGCTTAGGTAAGCAATCAGTCGACTTAATAACAACAGGTAAAACGGTTATTTATTTATTCACATTTATTTATATAACAAATCATTTATTAACAGTGAAAACGGTTATCCTTTGTATGATTAGAATATAGATATTGAAGATTATCATTTTATTTTATGATGATAATTATTTCAATATAATTTAATAATTGAAGATCTGTAATTAATAAAGTGATTTTTGCTGCTCTATGCCCCCGGACACAGCGCATCAAACGAAGGGACAAGAAAGAAGGACGGCATTTAATATAAGATGCATAAGTAAATATAATCATATAAGATATATAAGATAATATCTTAATTAATGAAGTTATTTATGATGCCAGGTCCCCGAACACGGCGCATCAAGCGACGGGACAAGAAGGAGGAGAAGAGACCGAGGACGGCGTTCACTGCCGACCAGTTGGCCAGGCTCAAGAAGGAGTTCACCGAGAACAGGTGAACTCAGTTCATTACTTGTTATTAGTATTATTAGTTATTTGGTAAATTTATATTTCCCAGCGCTAAAATCCATTTCGAATTATTAGATCCCACTGGCCTCCCATTTTTCAATGTCGTATGGTTTCATCGCAAAAACAATATTCCCTGGCCTATATAGAACCTTTGCTCTACAATTGAAGTAAGTGGGAAAAAATGTAGAACAATTCGCGGCGGGATAGTTATATTACTTATCACGAAGAAAAAGTGCGTGGTATAACGAACTATTGCGTGTCTCAAAGAACTGGTACATGCATGTCACGAAGGACTAGTGCATGCCACGCAGAGAATAGATTGTTATTTTTCGTGACCTTTGCAAGCTTTTCATGAATTCCAATTAATTGAAAAGAAAATGATAATTAATGTCGGGTAAATTGCTTAGAATTACACCCTTAGGGAGTCACAGTAACGTATTTCTTTGTGCTGCCACCGTTGAGGATAATGAGCTTGGATAAGCATGGATTATAAGGGTGAATAGGCAAGGATTATTCTGAAGTAGTCGGAGGAATAATCGGCGCAGATTTCGGGGAATATCCCGAATATCGGTAAATTCCCGTAAGAAGAGATTATTTCGTACCATTCATATTGTTATTATCACATCAAATAAAACTAATAATGCCAAGTAAAAAGTCGACATGTGATATAAATGTAACGAATTAACTATGCACTCCCGACTCATCACCACCACCACAGCGGCTGAGTGATATAACAATCACAGATCATCACTCACAGTGCACAATGGCGCGCTCGATACAGCCTCTCCGTCGCTCCTGTAGACCTGCTGGGTGCAAAGAAAGAGCTGTGCAACCATCCTTATAGTCCGTTACGGGGCAAGCCAGTCCGTTTTGTAGTGCTGTGCAACCATCCTTAGTCCTTTACGGGGCAAGCCAGTCCGCTGTGTAGTACAGTGCAACCATCCTTATTCCTTTACGGGGCAAGCCAGTCCGCTGTGTAGTGCTGTGCAACCATCCTTAGACCTTTACGGAGCAAGCCTGTCCGCTGTGTAGTGCAGTGCAACCATCCTTATAGTCCTCTACGGGGCAAGCCTGTCCGCTGTGTAGTGCAGTGCAATCATCCTTAGTCCTTTACGGGGACCAGTCCACTGTGTAGTGCAGTGCAACCATCCTTAGTTCTCTAAGGGGCAATCCAGTCTACTGTGTAGTGCTGCGCAACTGCCCTTATAGTCTTTCAATTGCTAGGCAAAAGCATGTATAATTGTTTTGCCCCGTAATATTTCGTTGCGTATGTTGTAAAGTATATTGTATTATTGATCTAATCCGTTTAGTAATATGTAGGCAATAAATAATCGGTTTACGTTAACATAAGGTCTTAAATGGGGTGATAAGTAAACGTTTGCATGACAACATCAAGTGTCCAGTTAAAAAAATATAAATATAAATAAATTATTATCTGCAAGAAAAAAGTTAGCCACAGAATAGAGCGTAGACTACTTCCCGGCTCATTCAAACTTTTACAAAATTCCTAAAAGATATTGTGTACTCGAAAAAAAAACAATTGTTTCTCTCATTTCTTTTCTTTTTTGCTTCGTCGCATAATTTCGGTTCCGCATACCTGATGAAGAAGTCGTACACGTCAGAGACGTGTACACGATTACTGATGAACGGGCGCTCGTGGTCTCTTCTTTGCGTAATCAGACCGAAACTTTATCGTCAATTTGGATAGTCAATGTAATTATCCAAAGTATTTTTTGTGTGTTGTTATGCACTATTTTCCATTAATATTTAATATGATTCGTGGACATGCTATATTTCGTCATGTGGATGATGTGAGTGATCTTTCGCGTGGATGACGTGTACGGTCATTTATAAAGAATTGAAATATGATAAAAAAATTCAAAATACCTCAAAAATAACTAGATGAAGTGTTATATATTAGATCAGTTGCAACGGAAAGAAAAGACGTATACGTAATTAAACGTTCAGTGTAGGAGAAAACAAATTAATTAAATAATCTCAAATTAAAACTCAATTATGAATCACTGAAGCAGTATCGTGACAAAAAATCAGTGAAATTGGACAGAAGTTCAAAATTTCACGTAAATTGAAAGTTAGTTTATATTCCCTCATATTTCCTTTCCCTCAACGAGGTCATAAATTCTCTTTTTTAATTGATGAAAGAGAAATTAATTATATACGGAGCCTCTAATTTCGATTACTGATAATTCTTTTTCGAGTCAACCAGACCAAGTGGCAAATCAGTTAGCCAAGTTATCAGACATGTATAGAACATAGCCCGTTTTATCACTAATAAATTGACGATACGTTGTATTTCTTCTATATTACGTTGTATTTCTCTATTATATTGCGATACGTTGTATTTCTTCTATATTCTCTAGGTATACACCGAAAAAAACTCCCAGTTGACTTTACTCGCTGCAAGAACAAAGTGAATATGCATGACGCTTTGTGTCGCCGGGGCTGCCGGAGCCTATATACGCACGCATGGCGCGGACGGAGCGGTAGCGGCTCGTGATTAAAGCGCGGTCGACATTACGCTGTCGTGCGGCTTGTACGCGTGTGATGGATCGTCTTCGGTGTCCGCATGCGAGACTTCACCGCCGTAGCCTTATGGTGCTTCACAGACCGGGGAATATTAACCCCTTTGAGGGGGGAATTGTCATTTATTTAAAGGGTGATGAAAGGCTGAGTGTTTCAATTAGGCCACATGTATCGACGTTGACAGCAATTTTGACAGGGATAATTAACATACTCATGTTAAATTGGGCAACATGGCGGTTGTATTGTTTGGGGAACGGAAGAGTGAGGGTTTCAATTTTGCCACATGTATCGACGTTGACAACATCAGGGTAATACTGTTATATTAAGGTTAAAGTAGGCAATATATGGCGAGAAAGTTTAGTTTCTGTTTCTTCTGTTTTTTTTTGCAAAAACTTGACCAATTCCCGTATTGATGCAAAATTGTCAATGTACATGCCGATCAATTTTTGCAATTGTCATGAAAGCGCATAACTCGAGTGAAAACCATGAGAAGAACTAAAGAACATTATAAACTAGTAAGTTCTTGTAAGTTATGGCTGTAAATAAGAACTAATTGCAGAATACAACTAAAAAGTAATTTTGACAGCGGTTGCAACTTAATTATGGCAAGTGAACCTCATAGCGTCTCAATAATTGTGCTCCAAAAGAGTAGCAAGTGTTAGTTGCGACTCTTTTGGAGTCTGTTAAGTTCGCGTATAAATGGATGTTTGATTGGCACACACACAGCTACCTTTTCACCACATACTGCATGGCATGGCGACTCTACCTTATTCTATAACTACAAGCCTGGGTCATCGATTGGAACACCTCACATTTTTACCAGGAATGGTGAGTCGGGAAGTGTGCATTTATCATGTTATGTTGGCAAGATTAGCTTTACTTGTATTTCGCTCTATAGCAATGTGTTATTTTATAAGGGTTAACGGGCAAGAATTAACTCTATCGGCGTATACAGTTACTAAAATATGTATTTATAGTTACTAAATATAGATTTTGACTCAAATCTGGCGTTTTCTATTATTTTCGTAATCCAATTCATCAACCGCTTTTTATAGAGTCATTTCCTGTGGGGAATTAATTTGTTCACGGACATTTGAGCGCGGTTTTAACGAGGCCATTAAGAAGCGGATGTTACAATAGTAAATGGTGAGTCGGGAAGTGTGCATTTATCATGTTATGTTGGCAAGATTAGCTTTACTTGTATTGCGCTCTATGGCAATGTGTTATTTTATAAGGGTTAACGGGCAAGAATTAACTCTATCGGCGTAGAGTTACGATCGTCGTTACTCTACGCCGTTCTGAGATACTGTTCTGGGCCTATACTTTCAAAAAAACGTTAAGAGTACGTAAGTTAATTAAGCCAATCATTGACGGCCTTTGAAGCCAAATCCACCAATCATAGACAAGAAAATTGAGCGTAAGTACTTACGTTCACTTAGCGAGTTTTGAAAGTAAGGACCCTGTTCTGATACATCGTTCTAAGATACTGTTCTAGGCTATTAATTTGTTTTGGGTGAAGGCCTTTTTAAAAAAAACAGCAGATGCGTCAATCAATTCTTAATGCCGCTCCCTTATAATTAAACACTTGCAACCCGTCAGTTATTTTAACCGGGCTTCAGTCACCGCACCTAAATATTTGAAGAGTGTGTTAGTACTTGGAATCATTATACGCTAAGGTACGAATATTTCCAACATGTTATAGGTGCGCTGCATCAAAGCTTCCCTCTGATTCTTCAGCTCAAGCTGCGCCCGTTGCCCGTTGGTACTACAGTTACTAAAATATGTATTTATAGTTACTAAATATAAATTTTGACTCGAATCTGGCGTTTTCTATTATTTTCGTAATCCAATTCATCAACCGCTTTTTTATAGAGTCATTTCCTGTGGGGAATTAATTTGTTCACGGACATTTGAGCGCGGTTTTAACGAGGCCATTAAGAAGCGGATGTTACAATAGTACATCGATTGGAACACCTCACATTTTTACCAGTAATGGTGAGTCGGGAAGTGTGCATTTATCATGTTATGTTGGCAAGATTAGCTTTACTTGTATTTCGCTCTATAGCAATGTGTTATTTTATAAGGGTTAACGGGCAAGAATTAACTCTATCGGCGTATACAGTTACTAAAATATGTATTTATAGTTACTAAATATAGATTTTGACTCAAATCTGGCGTTTTCTATTATTTTCGTAATCCAATTCATCAACCGCTTTTTATAGAGTCATTTCCTGTGGGGAATTAATTTGTTCACGGACATTTGAGCGCGGTTTTAACGAGGCCATTAAGAAGCGGATGTTACAATAGTTTCTCTAGCGGCCGCTGCACGGTGGTGGCGCTGCGAGATTGAGTCGTTAGTGTTACAGTGTTAGGAGTCTTCTAGAATAATGTTACTGTCGCGAGGCCGACACCTCGTCTTAGTTATTTAGACTCATAGGAAATTCCTGAGTTCCTTTTATAAATTACGAGCGATGGTATCAGCCGTAGGCTTCGTCAGAGGCTAGTTTCGGTTCTCGCCTCCTCCTGCCTAATGAATTCATTCCGTGAAATGATAAGAAAAGTTCATTAATCGTGGCTCTTCATTCTTAAGCTTGTCGAGCTCGCTGGAGTGTACAATAATATCAAAATCTAAGGTGCTGCCCAGATTAGGTTCATGTCTGGATCACTCACGGTGCACATGGAGGGTGGAGTATTATGATCGCCTCGTGAACGGCCAGCTTTCTAGCGAACTTAAGTTACCCTATTAATAAAAGGATTTAAAAAAACATTCGTGAGAAAAAATATAAAATAATTGCCGTTCATGTGTGCTTGGCATGATCGAATTTTTCAGCCCCCAAACTAATTATATTATTCCTTAAAATCCGATAATGACGTTACCACAAGGACCGCAATACAGCCAATGTAATGTCTGGATCCGATGAAAGCGTTCAGTGCGAGCCGCTTGAGTCTCAATTATTTGTGGCTAATGGAATGTATCAACAACCAAATTTAAGCATGCACTTTATTCAGTTTACCGCTGTTATATTACTTTTATGTTATCAGTAATTTTTTGTGCTTACCAACTGGCTGCTCCCGCTTGTGCAGCCAGAACTATGCAGATCGATACCCTAGCCGATATACAGCAGGAGTACATCAAACACCGGACGTTTTTAATACTCAATTAAGAAGAAATAATCATCTTCAGTTACACCATATGTAGGCAAGGGAAGGTTTAGTTAGGTTAGGTATTTTAAACATTATACGATGTCTGCACGGGAAGGTAGGGGTTGATTAGTTAAAATAATGATAACTTTAAGCAGTACGAGTACGTACTACTACGTAGAACTAGGCTTTTTCAGTTACACACTATGTCTTCATGGGAAGGTTAGGTTAGATCAAGAATAACGTCAATGAATACTTTATAAGAAAGACACCGCGATGGGCGTTGCAAAGTACACACAGACCTGAGCATCAGAAGATGATTCGTATCATATCTCAAAGCTCCTTATGGTCGCGTATATGGGTGTTGGGGAACACACTGATACACGACAAGTGATACACAACCTGACTGATACATGAGATGTTTCTGAGATACAGGCTGGTGATGGATACACGCTGCGATAGCTGCATGGTCCTTCTGTGACTCGAACTGATGCGCGACACTCGCTCCTCTACTTCTCGACCGATCTCTTCTACCTCGGCGAGAAATTGTGGTAGATTGGCTGTTGTGCTTGCTCGACCACGCTCTTCTTCTCAGGAGAAATTGTGTTAGCTTGGCTGGTGTTGTGTTGTGGTTGTGGGATAGAATTAATGTGAGTCCGATACGAAATAGTATGAATGAAACTTTTGAATTATGACAGAAGAGAATCATAGGAATCATATGATTATCATAATATAACATTCGATGATTGATAAAGGATAAATACTGTAATGGAAATTTGCTTGACAAGAAATTTAATTTCCTGCACGTTAAAGATTTATGGGATCATACCAAATAGTATACGACTGTTGATGCGGTAGAAATACTTTAATGTAAAAAGGCCAATGGGATGATATAGAGAATAACTTTTAATTGCTGAATACATCAACACGACTGATGAACTGGCAGTGATTCGCACCCACACTCGCAAGGTAGATTCTCGGCAACACTCGTGACTGACGAAGTGTTTTATGCGCCGGAAGAGACGTGTTGTGGCTGCCGCAGACACGTCGCTCTTCGTCTTATCCTTGTCTTCATCCGTGTTTATGTATCACGCTTTGTTGAGGTTTTGTTTATTTAGTTATTAATGTAGTTAATGAGGCTGCCCGCGGGGATGGATGCCGTGTCTCTGCTCCGACACCGAGCGTGTGACCTCCTCATTGTTTCTTTATTCAAGTCGTCCACACAATTAGAATGTTAATCCTTTACAAATGTTCTCAAAATGATGTATATTACTAAACAGTCATTCACTTTTTTCTCCGCACCCCTCGATTACCCCCAGGAAATAGATCAATTGATATACATGGAAAGGTATTAATTTATTTTGTACGTATAACAGTATTACAGTATAATATATTACAGTAATTTCAGTACTTTCCCACTCCCAAATTGAAGCAGATACTCCACAGAGAAAATTTCTCTGCATTAACACAAGGGCAATATTTTGTGTTTTTAATAATAATGACGAATTTCCTTCTTTCAGACGCAGATACGCTAGAGCAGAGGAAATGCCTTTGCATTGACCTCTGCAAGGCGTTTTTTTTTTTATTCCAAGATATTAATTTATTAATTAAGAACATCTTCCACCTGAACAGAAAATACTTTTGTTCTCAATTATAACTAAGAACCTCCCTCCTCCTGCTGCTGCAGATACCTGACGGAGAAGCGTCGTCAGGACCTGGCTCGCGACCTCGGCCTCAATGAGTCCCAGATCAAAATTTGGTTCCAGAACAAGCGCGCCAAAATCAAGAAGGTGAGAGCAGCTGACACGATTTATTAGATTTACATCACTAGGAGTAGAACAATTTTCATCACTACAGTATAATTCAGTCACTACTAGAATGCATGACATCAGTCACAAGGATTGAGTTTCAACGGCTCCTTATGTGATAGGCCCATGTCTTGACCAGCTTTCGAACTGCATGCATGGCTCATTGAAAAGACTCTTAAAATAAGCGGTCCATTTCTCCAACGGCTCATTTCTTGATATGTTTCTTTAAAAGTGAGTGGCTCATTCCTTTAGCGGCTCATTTCTTGAAAGACTCTTAAAATAAACGGCTCATTCCTTGAACGGCTGTTAAAAATGCTCTCCTGCGTGCTTTGGGTTTCGATTCTTCTATATAGTCCTTGCTTAGTTGGTGCCCAAAAATACTGTTCACAGGATACTCGCTCAATAATAGTTGGTTTCATAATAAAAAATTAAACTAGGCACAAAGCTATGCTGAATAATTACGAATCATTAGGCACAATAACGCACAACTGGCACGCACTTTAACATTCAAGCCTGCATTCAGGTCACTTCAACATTCACTTCAACATTCATTTCAACATTTACTTTAACATACACTTTAGCATTCGGTTTAGCATTCATTTAAACATTAACTTTGGCGTTCATTTTAGCATTCACTTCAACATTCACTTCCGCATTCATTTCAGCATTCACTCCAACATTCACGCCGACATCCACGTCAGTATTCGTAGAGATGTATCTATGCCAGAAGCAACACGCACAAACCAAACTCGTAACCCACTCGTCGCGGCCACAAGAGCTTTAAAGTGGTACCCCTCTATAGGCTAATTACAACAAAATAACGTTTATTAAGAGTTAATTTATTTAAAATAACACTGAACCAACGTTAGTTTCAATGTCAGGTGCCTACTGAGATAAAAGCCTACCGCCTCGCACCCTCACTCTCGTTAGGCTGCACAGAGGGCAGCGTCTCGAGGGCAAAAGAGTCCTTTGTGTGTAGGACTTTTAAGCGAACAAAGAAAACCACAAATCAAATCGCGCTACGTTTACCTGCGCTCGATGGGCTCTGCATCAATCTTAGTGGATGTCGTACGCCTGCACACTTGTTGCAGTAGTGAAGCCTGGCTACTTGTTTGTGAACAAATCTGTTCAATCAAGAGCCACGTTATAAAAGACGCTTATTTAGCAAATATCATTTACAAGCTAACATTCCGTTTTATGACTTTCAGGAAATTACAGGCCATATTATTGGAAGCAATATCGTTATATTATTGAATGCATAATATTGTAGCTCAGTCTCCTGAATCTTGAAGTTTGGCTCTGTTATATATATGGCTATTACTGCAGTGCTATGCTGTTCAACTCTAATGACAGTCTATATATTACGTGTTTATACTCTTTTTGTTACTCTCTCTCTATTTTTTTAGATTACACGTTTTCTGCATCAGCCTACTTCTCGATAGAACTGCAGTTTTCTTGAACTGAACATACAAGTATAATGCTTACTTGATTATTTAGTTGCGTTGAAGCAATTTCTAGGTTATCTTGTACGCAACATTCAGACGAACCTTCGTTGGGTGATTTACACTCATTGCTACATAACATCAAACATTATTGCTTCATCACAATTTTTATCATCTTTACAATGTTGAATTTGGGAATAATTTGTTCTGTTTAATGATAGATCATACGAGCAGCTGACACACTCATGTTCCTGGACTTCAAACTCATATTTGCCTGATCTGCTCACGGTTTCATTTCACTAACATGCTTACCTTTCAATGACATATTTTTACTCCCAATTAACATTACTTTTACATGACTGAGTAACTGAAAAGTATTTAATATTGCATTTCATATTCCTTGCTTGAATTTTGGAACATTTCAATGCAATCAACATTAAAATAACATGACTGGCCATTCATTATAATAACATAATAATATTTTTAATGTATTAATACTGTTTCTCATGTCCCCAACATTTTTCTATGCGATAAATATTAATATAACATAATTAGCATTGCATTATAATAATATATAACAATATAACAATAATACTATTAAAAATAATACTGTTAATACCTGTAATATTGTCTCTCATATCACCATCCTTTTTCATTGCGATAAACATCAATATAACACACCTAGCATTGCATTGTAATAATATTTTTACTGTATTAATACTGTTAATAATATTGTTTCTCATATCCCCAGCATTTTAATACATTTATATAACGCAACTAGCATTGCATTATAATAATATATAACAATATAACAATAATACTATCAATAATAATACCGTAGTGTTAATACCTGTAATATCGTGTCTCATTTAATAATATTGTGTCTCACGTTGTTTGTGTTGTTGTGCCGGCCTCCTAGCAGACGACGGGCCATAAGAACCCCCTGGCCCTGCAGCTCATGGCCCAGGGCCTCTACAACCACAGCACCATCCCCATCAGGGAGGAGGACGAGGAACAGCTCCTGCAGCACGCCATGTGAGGCGTCTTGTGAGGGCATGCCATGTGAGGGCCTGTCTTGTGAGGAGCCTGTCACGTGAGGGGCCTGTCTTGTGAGGGGCGCGCCATGTGAGGGGCCTGTCTTGTGAGGAGCCTGTCACGTGAGGGGCCTGTCTTGTGAGGGGCGCGCCATGTGAGGGGCCTGTCTTGTGAGGGGCCCGTCTTGTGAGGGGACCGCCACGTGTGGTCCCCGTCATCTGAGGGGCCCAGGACCTCCTCAGAAATGACGCGTTGCGTCCATGTGAGGCCAGCTTATGTGAGGCCATCGTGAGTGAAACCTGAGCACGTAAGATCATGTGAGCAGCTTTAGGTTGTGAGGCATATGAGGCCAAAGATCGTGAGGCGTTTGTGAGGCCGCTTGAAGATTTCGCAAGTGAAATCATTTATGCCAATTTTCATGTTGTATTCAAGATTTACACAACCAGAATTTTTTTTTTCAAAATTGCCCACATTCGGGCTACGATGCAAATACCTGATGAGACCAAATAAACTGTAAATTTCGAAGGAAATCGTAAACTTTTTTAACGTTCCCGCACTTCCCGTAAAGTGTTTAGAAGATACGAGGGAATGCGTTGTCCTTTGGCTGCCAAAAGGGTATCAGTGCGAAAGTGTGTCATTATTAGGACAGGATGACTCATTATTTTACTGAGTGTGTCGCGAGGGGACAGCGATCCGGTGATCAGGTCTTGGTTTATATAAAGTAAAGCTGTAAAAAAGTAAAGTAAAGTAAATTATTAGCTTTTTAACATCATGATGGAATGTTTGAGAACTGCTACAGAATTCTACGAAAAACAAGTAATTTTCTCTAACAATACGAAATTTAATCTACCAAATGGGAATGAAGTTTTTAAGTAAATGGTTGCGGTGGCTATATATCTTAAGAGTAGAACACTGAGATCTCTCAATTGATTCCATGCCTAGGAGCTATAATGATGAAGTTCAAAAAGGCGCATATAAACTGTAAACATTAATCACATATACACGTACAAAGAACGCGTCATGTGAAACCCACAGTTTAAGATTATACAAGTGCACTGACCACTAAGAAACAGAAACTTCGTGTAAACTTGCTACGTAAATTCATGGCTTTTTGTTTAGGTTTATTGGGGGCTTTTATTTTTTATCTTAACTGTGTTCACAAAAAGTATGATAAATGAAGAGATAACTGCTTTATTTTTCAACATGGAATTGCAGGTTTGGTCAATTCAGGGAGAGATTGCGTGCAATCTGACTTTGACCGACGCATTTTTTGAGCCTGTATCTCGGTGTAAGTAGGTCTATATAATGTTAAAAATTTATCGATATATTGTGTATAATTATGAAAATGTTTTACATTTTTTACAGAGTCTTGAAGTGAGGACTAAATAATTGTAATAATTGATTTTGATGTACATCGATATCATGTTCAAACTGATTTAATATATTTTATTTTACTATGTTGGATTACTCCATTATGCAAAATATTTTATTTGAAATTTATTTTCGACGTTACATTCATGTCTGCCATTTTTCTACCATACAACGGGTGTAGCCTTATATCTTAATTACGGTATATTTAATTGACTGCTCATTAATATACACTGTTCTTTATAAACCCATACAGGCTTTCAAACTTATTGTTGTCTGTAAAAGTCGGAAATTTTTAAAGCCTTGTTATTTAACGAGAAAAAACTACCAGATTTCCAGTGTTAATGGTAATCCAATATTGTGGTGGTTATGCTAGTGATTGTTTGGTTGAGATAAGGATGCATGAGTCGGGGATAGGCGCACATGCTTCCTTTGATGCTAGAGAGCAGGTGTTATTATACGCTTGGTCTTGCTGCTCCTACAAGCGAAAACTCAAGTTGTTCCTTTGACAATCGAACTTGATAGTTTTCAATTATTATTACTTAATCACAAAAAAAATAACGAATTAATTTCAATTTGTTTTGAACGACCAGACTTATGGTAACTTTTTTGGGTTGACTGAAGGTGTTTTTTTGCCTAACCCTTGGGCATTTTGGCTGCCACGTGACGCTAGTTAACTCGTATGAGGTCGGAGGAGCCGGTGCAATAACGCAATAACGTCAAGATGAGAACCAGAAGCAGCCAAATTAGTGAAATATTTAATGTTGATAAACCTTTATCATTATTACCTATGTCATTATTCTAACTATATCATCGTTATTGCTGTCAAACTAAACGCAATTCCACAAGACCGAAGTCAAAATTTGGTCCCAAAAGCCTCCCGTGTGTTTGTTTTTGATCCCAAAAGCTCAGTTAAATATTAATTCCTAAAGACCCGTGAAAAATAAAAAATTATTTATTAATTTCCGAGAAGCGTGAAGATTATTCGAAATGTTCAAAAAATAACATCGTGGAGCCACGTCTGTCATCAGTGCATGTTGCCATCGCAACGAATACAACGTTTACGCAGTAAAAACGGACATGTGGACGCTAGAACGCTCAATGTTTATCTAGAACGCTCAACTATTAATTTATCGCTGAAATGAATAATAATGTTTTTACAGCATTCACCACGCAGTACGATTGTGAGCGCTACGGCGGTGACGACATTATTTGAACTGTAAAGGATATTTCCCTGGGAACTTTTGATGTCATAATTGCATGCGGTCTTTCCTTGAACATTTTTCATTAAAAAAAAAGCGCGTTTTTGTGAATTTGTAGAAGTTAAAAAGAGTAATGCGGTACAATCAAAACAAAGAAATGTAGGTACGTCGACGCACATTTCACTGTGCATGTTGACCGTTTACTTATGAAACCATTCATCCTATTCATTTTAGTTTGAATTGTTATTTTCATTCTTTAATGTTCAACCTGCAAAGTCTAAAGTGTGTGCTTTACTTTAAATTAACTTGTATCATTATACTGAGTGTGTCGAACTGAGTGTGTATCATTATACTGAGTGTGAACTTTACACAAACTAACACAAAAATGAGAAGTAAGACACTTTCTTAATTTGCTTCCTTATATTCAATCCATAAAACCCAACCTAAACCGACGAAAATTGTAACAAAAGCTATAATAATTTTTATTGCTCCAATTAACTAATTACTCGAGAACACTACTTTCGTAAAGGCTGAATCAATGTAATGTTCTAACTGTGTTCATTGATGAACTCTACATTGATCGACGTTTAGTAGGCCAGTTATTCAGTGTTTGTAAATAATGTTAATATCTGTCAATAATTAGTATTAATATCTGTCGATAGTTAGTCGTCTTGGCGACATTAGTCACGTTAACTTGTAAGCTATTAATTGTTAATTTATAAGTTATTAATTAGTTGCCAACGTTGTCGTACGGCAGACGGGTTCTATATCGATATTGTGCTGTCTATTCCGAGTTATCATCTATTGATAATTAAGTATTAAACTATGAAGTGTACATAGCTCTATTTATTGCCTCTATTGTACATACTGCATTAGTTATTCACTTAAGGACGGTCGAACAACATACTCATCTAAATAAATTTCATCCTTCGATTCCTTATATCATTCCTTCGTCTTTTAAACCACTATTCCGTTTACAATATGAGAAAAAAATCGTATCAAGTTTTTAAGATTGATTATAATTTTTTTATAATAGTGAATCCTGCTAAAATACTTCATTTTAATAACATACAGAGAATATGCCCGAATTTTTTCAGCACGAGTCTCAAATTTAACTGATGAAAAGCGACTAAACTAATAATGCCAAGCAAACATTTTTGATAAATGGAAAACCCAAATCCTGGAAAACTCAAGCAAACATTTACTGCGATATAGCCTTTCGTAATTAAACATATGTTCTTAAATGGACAACAACATTAATATTATTTGTTCTGCAATACAAAAGAAACGCTATTTTAAACTGTGTATTAATGAACGTGTATTAATAAACTGTATAATTAATGAACGTGATCTGAATAATGAAATAATATTATATCTGATTATGACAATTCATGACATCGTCCCATTACTCCAGAAATATTATTCATTTTTACTCTGTATAATATCTCTCTGTGTTGGTGTAGGTCCCATGTGTTGATGTATTAATAAACGTGAATTGTCATGAACAGATTCATCATTCAGTTCAGGTTCATTATGTTTCCATGAATATCATAACAAGATTAAAAAGTACTGAATAGTGGACACGAAGAAAAAAATAAATTTCACAACGCAGGCTGTTGACAACGCTATAAATAATTCTCTTGATTCGTCTGAATGCAATTATGAATTTAATATGAATTCAAAGTTTATGAATTCACAGGCTGTGAATTCATGATGTAGGTCTCAAAATTCCTAATTGCGAATGTTTATTTTGCATAACTCAAACACACACAAACCTTCTTTGATCTAATTCACATAGTTATTTGTTCACCGACAGAGCTACATATGAATAATGCAGAGGGCCACTCTTGAGTTAACAATTCCGTAAATTTGTAGGTTAGAGTTAAAGGAATTGAAATAAAATTGTCATGTTGACAAGGTTGGCTTGAACCTAATTTCCAGGTATCGTGTCGAGGTTGTAATCAATAAACAACTTGAAACAAGTAAAAGTCTTCTCAATATCCACCACATACAATCGTTGCTGACAAAATCCCTTCATTTAGTATATTTTCTTTATAATACAATATTTTTTCGTCGAATGCTACATTGCAAATAGGTACTTTACAAAAACAATAAGTTAAAGAAAAGAAGTAAGCAAATATTAACAAATAATGATTATTGAAAATGAAATTCACTGGCAATATAT